TCGTTCGGAGTCGGCGCCCGCCACAATTCGGAGGAGAAGCTAGGCCAAACACTAACATATTTTGTAAACGCCAATCTATGAAATTATTATGTATATTATTATAAGTGTACAGATTTATCTGTATTTTCATTCTTTATCGCTTTTTCAACGTTCATGTAAAAATCTCCAATGCACAGTGGTTCATAACTGGCATATACTGTTCACAATGCACTGCAGTCCTTATTTTTCACACAAATCTAATAAATTTTTTTTGTTTAATGAAAGCTTATGAAATTTTCAATATACCAGTTGAGTCCGATTTTTGCTTATTTACTTGGTTATATTAAATTCTTTAGTGCAAAGTGCGGAAAAAGTAGCTTTGCAATTTGAAGAAAATTGATTCTCCCATTCCAGTTGATAAATATTTCATAATAAAAACTAGTTGAAAACAATTTTAGGATTCCCCCAAAAAGGAAAAAAAAATACATAGAAGTTCACATATTTAAACTAGTTGAAAACAATTGTAGGGTTCCCCCAAAACGAAAAAAATTCACATAAAAATGGAAATGGTATACAAAAAAATTTCACCAAAATTAAAATTATATTTAGTTTTTAGTAACATTTTCGGTATGCAGTTTTATAGGTCATTAAATTTAATATCGCGTTGATTTTAAATAAGAATCTAAGCCACAGAGACAAAGGGTATGCCCTTATTTCCCATTCAGCACATCGAAATTTTTGCGAAAAATATTATTAAAAATCGATGCGAACTCTAAGCTACTTACAACTTCCACTTTATTGCACTAAAATTAAATGATCTATAAAACTGCATACCCAAGATTTTTCTTAAAAGTAAAAAAAAAATTTTGGTGAACATTTTTTTATAACATTCAAATTTTTATTTTGAATTTTGTTTTTGTTTTGGGGAACCCTTAAAATGTTTTCAACTAGTTTTTATTATGTAACATTTATCAACTGCAACAGTAGAAGCGGTTGTCTTCAAAATAGTTGCTTTTTCTGCATTTTGTACTAAATTATATAATATACACAAATAAAAACTCAACTGGTTTCTTACTAATGTTATATGCTTTCATTAAAAAAAAAATTTATAAAATTTAGTGAAAAATTAAGGCTAAAGTAAATTATGAACATTGAGTTCCAGTTTTGAACCACTGTGCAATGCGGCTCGGAGGGTTTACCCCCAAAATGTTACTCTAAATATACATTTAAATGATTTTAGACATATATAAATCTGAAATTTAAGAAAACCCGTGCTGGGTTTTTCATAATAAAGAATTTCTAACACCATCTGCTTTTACTCAGTATTTTGCTTGAAAAATTACTCCAACTCTGATAGATGCGCTTTTCTACTAGTCTAATATGGCGACAACTTCGAGCAGACCCATAAATTCGTATACACAATATTTTCTGACATATTTAAAAAAATCCTTTTTTACTGACATTTAAGCGTTCCCATAAAGTTATGCCTAGATAAGTACGAGTATATCTGTTTATATATAAACATACATATATATATATGCATATATGTATATATGCCTCTTCAGAAGTTAATGGTATACAAATGTACTATAAATTTATATAAAAATACATTTTGCGTTTAAGTGGAAAACCTCGTGAATGGTTTCGTTTGTGGTTAGACTAAACAACCAAAAGTGCAATTTTATAATCCAGCACACACACTTGCACATACAGTGGCACTTGCGAAACAAAGCAATGCACTTAAGTGCATTGTATTCTTCTATGTTATTATAAGTTGCATTTTATTTTCGCAAGCATTTGCTTTGTGTGTGTGCGAGTTTTTCTTTTGCACAATTGAGTTTCGTACATACATACATACATACATATTTAGAGAACTTCGTTATTTTCCTTTTTGTTTATTTAAGAAATGCACAATTGAATTGGAAAAGAACTTTCTATTAAAAGCAATTGACATTGTGGCGTCTTTTCAAGCGTTGTTGAAGTATCATTTTATTGGTCAAATGGAAAATGTTTTAAAATTAGATAAAAAGTTTATATGTATTATGCACTTACAATGTAATAGAACGAAATAGAAATGCGTTTATCAAAATGCAAATGCAAATAAATGCCATTCAACTAATGAAATTATGTTCGAAAGTTTAAGAATATAAATTTTGTGAAAATGTTACGCATAAATTCAATTAAGGAAATTAAGAGCACGTGGATGGAAATTGAACATAAAATGAAGAAGAAAAATGGCAAACCATATTAAATAAAATATATTAAAAGACTATTTCCAGGAAGCAGGGCAAAGAAAATTAATTTAAAATTTTTAAGTAACTAAAGAAAATATTTTGTTTTATGCACTTTCTGTTTAACACTTTTTCTAAGCTACTCACGAAAATAACATTTATAAAACTAACGTTATAATTTTTAACCGATTTCGAAAAAAGTAAGCGGTTTTCAATTCGGAGTATTTTTTATGTAGGTACATATGTTGCCGAATAATTTTGGACCTCGTGAACCGTTCCCATACTAATTTGGTTTATTTCCGATCATTGGAGTCGATTGCTTTTGTATTTGATTGCTTGTTTTTTTTAATATACATATTTACTTTTTCCATTTTGTTAAATAATCAAAACCTCTCCCTTACTATTTTCACAATTTTATTAAAGCAAAAATATTTTTGATCACAGCTCGATTTTGTAGCAATTTTTAAATATTTTTCCAAAATACAACAACGTGTGATTGAATTTGACATTGCTTTCATCCTATAATGTCAAATTGAATAAAAGTTAATTTTGAATCGTTTGTTTACATTTTTAGCTTTATAGTACCTTAAAAGACAGACGTACTGAGTTCTCAATCACGCCTTGTTTAATATACCTTATAACTATCGAAGATTTAATTGCTACAAGTTTTACTTTTTATTTATTCGAAAATTAAAATTTTTTTCAAATTCCTCTGAATTTACTTCTTTTAGTTATTAATTAAATTCAATTTCCTTTGTGTTATAGCGATAAGAAATAATGGTTTGCTAAAAGCTTAATTTCGTAAAAAATTTTAGTTTATAACTATTTGAAATCATTTACCGCAAAGATTTTTTTTAGCGCAAAGATTTTTTATATGAATTATTGAAAATATTTTTTAAGTTTTTTTTTTTGTTCAACAATTGTTATTGAGCTCGAGGCCGTTTTTTAATGAAAATTTATTGTGGAAAAGCAACAATAATTTGAAAAAATAGTAGAAGTGATAGCTATTTCGGAATTTTTTTTTTGTTATAATTTTTTCACTTAAAACGAGTTCATAATTTTCCACTTTTCGAAAACATTAAAACGAGTTTATTCTAAAACATACAATTTGTGTGCTAAAATTTTTTTATAAGAATTAATTAAAATTTTCTTTGTGCCATAATTTTTTTCACTTAACACAAGTTCATAATTTTCTACTTTTCGAAAATATTAAACCGTGATTATTCTTACAAATTTTCCTAAAAATTGTAATTTTGTTTTTTTTTTTTGCTATTTGCTACAGATATTTTAGATTCTAAATATTTAAAATCATTTCAAACCCACAATTTTAACACAAATATGTATTTTGTAGTATTTTTCCCCTAACGTGTTTTAATTTTAATATTTCAAAAAATGCTGCATACAGAAATTCTCAAATAAGATGCCTTATATGCATTAATGAACAATTGTTTAAAGTATTTTTTTTTTGTTTTTGTTATTTGGTAAAGAGATCTCAAACTTTTTGGCTAGCAGTTTTTTTTTCACTTAACAAGTTCATAAATTTTTTACTTTTCGAGATCAGCTGTCAAACACATAACAAAATTTTCACCACTATATTTTATACATCCAGAATACTAGCTTTCCAAACTTTTGATTTCGACAATTTTTTATATGAATTTGTAAAAAATTTATGGAAAAGGGGTACAACTAAATAATATTATATTTAAAAATGTTTCCATCAGTTATAAGAATATTAAACAATATCTTATTTTAAAATTTGAAGTTGGAATCTAGGCGAAAAATTTTAGATATTAGCATTTAAAACAGAATTATTTGCAATATTATTAATGAAAAATTTCACTATATTATTAAAAAGTGCACTATTTAATAACACTATTTAATACCGAACAATTTCACATAAAAAATAATATTGAAATAATTTATTTATATTTTTGTAATCTTTTTCAGGTTTTCACTTTGAGAAAAAAAAATTCAGAAAATATTTAATCACAAAAGTTAAAAAAAAAATTTGGAAGTAGTCTTTAAGTTTTTTAATGTGCGTATATATTTTTTCCAAGCTTTAACAAAAATGTTTTTTGACGACTTTAAAACTCTTGAATCTCTAAATAACCCTGATCTGTCAACTTGTATAAAATGTTTCTTAGTAGTAAAGTATTTTAAAAATTGATATTGAAATTACTGATGCTGGAAAATATTTCATAAAATTAAAAAAAAAATATATATTATTTTTTTTTATTTAATTATCAGTTCTAAGCAAAGAGAAATTTTTTTTTTAGTTTAATATTTTTAAAAATTTCGAAAAAATATATTTGTTTCCATTTTTGAATCAAGTATTTTCAAAAAAAAAACATATTGCACAACCAATCGTAATTTATTTTCTTTAAAGTTTTCTTCGCGTTTTTTTCAAAATTAAAAAATTTAAATTTTTTAAGACTAAAATATCTGATTTTTGCTAAATTAAAAAATGTTTGTCCAAGGTTAAAAAATTTTATGTTTATAAGAAAATTCCAAATTTTATAAAAAGCTGGAAGCCTTATTTTCAAAAAAGCAAAATTGATTTAAAGCATTTTAAATCTACATATATGTATGTATGTATATCTGCAACATTTTTCTGGGTGTAAAAATTTGCACAAAACGCTCTAAAAGTACTACCGAATTTTTTATAAGATGATCAATTACGCCAGCTAGTTACGAAATAATAAAATCTTAAAAATCTTAAGAAAAGTTTGTGTTCTGCCGCAAAATCTCTACATCGCAAATAATACATTTTATTTTTTTGATCACTTACAGATCTTTGATGACATAATTTTCGTTTTCTTCGCAATCGAAATGCTCATCAAAACGATGGCGATGGGCTTGTATGGAAAAAACACATACATGGCCGATTCGTGGAATCGACTTGACTTCTTTATAGTTGTTGCTGGCTTATTGGAATATGCTACGAATGTGGATAATTTAAATTTGACTGCGATACGAACGATAAGAGTGTTGCGACCATTGCGAGCGATCAATCGCATACCAAGTAAGTATAAAAGAAGCCACCTAAAATTTGATAGCAGGGAGACAAAGGGGGCATTAAAAATCGAGGCACGCAAAATGGCACAAGAGGCATAGTTTTAACCAAAATAATTAAAACATTTTAAACTAAAATGCGCTTAAAACGCTCGCCACAAAAGTTTGAGCTTGCTTGATCGGAGCTACCAGTGCGTATACGCAACTTTTTTACATCACCTCGAAAAACTTATCAGTAATCGCTTAATTGGTACTTTTCTACGGACTAACACTTCTCTCCCCCCCACTCTCTACAGGTATGCGCATTTTGGTCATGTTGCTGCTGGACACGCTGCCTATGCTCGGCAATGTGCTGCTGCTCTGCTTCTTTGTCTTCTTCATATTCGGCATTATTGGCGTACAACTGTGGCAGGGCATACTGCGTCAGCGCTGTTGGATTGGGGCCGATTTGCCTGTGGATGATTTTCCGTAAGTAAACATTTAATAAGACATAATTTATGAATTTTTCCGATTTACGATTTCTACTAAAAAGTAAAAAATTTGCGCAATAATGACTTTTCTCTTTCCGCATTGCTACTACTATTCTGCAACGTTCGTTTTTTTGTTTTGCTGAAATTTCCTTTCACTTTCTATACTAAAAAAAAAAAATTGCTAAAAAATTTTAAAATTTTTTCGTTGCCGTATATATACTTTGTTTTTCATTTTAATTTGTAAAAAGCTTCCGAGTGTAATCCTTATAGCCGCTTTTTTATTTTGTAGAATTCAGCATAGATTTTCTATGAGAATTTTGTAGCCAAATTGTGAGCCAACGAGCTGCAAAGGTAGTTAGAATTCATGCAGTTTCTGACTTTTTTGTTAAAAATAATTTTTTTCAACTAGAAACAAAACTAATTGCAGTTTTTTATATTTATTTCTAGTTTCGCTTTGCGTTTCTGTTTCATGGCTTTAGTTTTGAATTATTTATTTTAAAAATTCATAAATTTTTAATTTTTGCATTAAAAACAATGTACACTAGTGAAAATTAATTTTTTTATAAAAAGTTTGAATAGTTAAGATACTGTTTTGAAGGGTTTTGCATTTATTTTATTCCCATTACTATTTTTGCATTGCTAAATTTATTTTATATTAAAAAAAAAATTTATTTTTAATATTTTAATTTTTGATTTGTTTATGTTTTCTAAATTTCTTTTTCTTACGTAATTTAGTAAAGTGAAATATTTAAAATCTTTAAAAAAAAAATATTTTTAGCACCGTGCATGTGAATACTGACGTAGTACAAGTTCTATTTAGGAGCCTGAGCTTTCGGTTAGCAAAACCAGCTGCTGATTTTCAAAGCCTTTCGTACTAACTTTACTCATTCACCCATCTGTAAATAACTATTTGAGCGCTTACTAGGAAAACAGTGTGTAAATATTAAAATTTTTTGGTAGGATTTATTTTTTATAAGCTTCATTAGAGCTTTTTGTACGCTCTTTTACCAGAAAGCAATAGCAAGCGCTTTTGCAAAGCTTGATAAGAGTTTGTGTAAAAGTAAGCTTTGATTACAGCTGTTTATTGCTCTTTGTGAGCTTAGTTTTTAGGTGGTAGGCTAAGCGAAAACTTTTTAGAGCTTTCAAAGCTTTTATGAGTTTTCTACATTATTTATTTGTGGTAGAGTTTAAATTTGGCTTTTTAGAAATTAGAGTTTTTATCTTCGTAAGCATAATTCAAAAAAAAGGGTTTTTTAAATTTGTTTAGGGCTTTTGCAATATTTTTAAACTTTCTCCAAATTTTTTTTAAAATTGTTTTACTAGAACTGTAACTTTCTCTTAAAACAAACCTTTTTGTTAGCTCATGAGTTGTAGGCATTGATAAAACTTTCTCGGGCATATTAAGGCGTTTAAATAAAATGGCCATAGATTTTTAGTTCATGCGACTGTAAACTAGCAATCATATAGAGCTTTTTGTAAACACTTGAGTGTAGAAGATATCAGCTAGAGCTTTTGAGAGCTTTTAAAGCTTTTATGAACGTTATAATATTTCATTATTATTTTTAGTAGTAAATTTAGATAGGTTCAAAATCAGAAATGTATATATAATTTAAAAGATTATTATTGAAAGTTTTAATATTTCCAAATAATATCTTTTTAAAATACAAATGTAAATAACTTAGACGACATTTTTCGGCTTGTTTTTTTTTTGTAAACATTTTCTTAGTATGTGCTTACTTGGTTTAATTAACGTTTGATATTTGTTTTTTTTTTTTTAATTTTTAAGTTCGAATTTTTCCTACTTTTATTTTGTTCTAATATTTTTCAACAAAAAATTAAAATGCTAGCCTCAATTTTCAGTAAAGATGCTCATTGCAACTATTTTACTAAAATCGCCCTCGTTTTTAAATAACAAAAATTTTAAGTGCTTTAGATTCAAATTATTACAAAATTTGTTTTCCTAATAATTTCTTTAAATATTATTTTTTTTGCATCTTTCCCAATATTATTTTAACAATATTTCAAAATTTGTTTTTAGGGGTTTGAGTTTATCATTTTTTTTTTATTAAAAAAACAAAAGGCTTCTTGACCATTTTTGGCCTCAAGTTATGACTTAAACATTATACCGTTAGAAGGTATTTTTTATTAATTGATTGGATGTTTTCAATACAATTTTAGAACTATAAATTTATTTTTCGTGTTAACCCCTTTCAATATTTTTTATTACACACTTAAATTAGTTAAAAAAAAAACTATTTCTAACGAGAAGATATTGTTTCAAATCAAGTAAAACTTTTTCCCTACATTCATTTTCAGAAATTAATTAATGTTTAATTAAATTTCTTACCTTACTAACGAATAAGGTTATTTTTTTACTCGTATCTATTTTTTTCAATATACATTAATTTGGTTTTTCCGTATGTAAATGTTTCGATACTTTTCACTAAATAAAAGTCGTATTGACTTCAGTTTTTGATGAGACTTAATTTTTTTCAATAAAAGTTTTATTTGCCTCGACTTCATTTTCCACAAATTTATAAATATTTTATTTTTGTATAAAAACTATGAGTTCCTTTTTTATTTGAGCAAAAAAAAGCAATATTTTTCACTAAAATTTTAACAAGAAAAAGCAAATGGAAACATCCAATCTCTCAGATATTATTGACTGCTGCATTTTATGCAAATTTCTCCACTAAAGCTCTCAATTCAAAATGTGCAGCTGTCTAACTGTCACTGACACTAAGCTGCTGCTGTTGCAACAACAACCACTGCTGCCAGACTACTCCCTACTGGCTGCTGTCGCACTCAACGCAGCATGTATGCGGCCATTTAGCGTGCAGTGAGCAACTGGGTGCCGTCTAAGCAAATGCGTTACCCCACAAAGCATGTCTGAGTCACTTAACAGACGTGTTTGCCATAGCTGATGTTAGCTATATTTACAACATTTGCTCGCACATTTATGAGTTTTTTGTTTTTTTTTTCTTGCTCCAATAAAAACTTCGAATTGTCATCTAAATGCGACAAGAATTTGAAAACGAATGTAAAATATGAATTCAAAACAAAAAAAAAAAAACTATTAAAAAAAATCAGACTGACTCGCATGCAGAAAATCTGCAACAGGGGAAATGTACGTCGCTCAACACTAATCGCTATTGAAAGCAGTTTGCCATGTGCCGCCGCTTGCTGGTTCTCTAGTTCCTATATCACCAGCGCTGCCTTTAATATGCAAATTAATTGCTGACTTCGAAGCGAAGCGTTTGGCAACTATCTTCATGCTGCCATTGGCGGCTTTCCTGCCTAACGTGGCATACATATTATTTTATAAGCAATTTTATACACATGTACCTATGTAAATATGTACGTACTTGTGTAGTCAATTATGCCAACTCGCTCACACGCTCGTACGGTAAACATTGACTGTCTGTGAGCAGTTGCAGATTTCAGGCGCCCAAGTAGCGATATTTCATTATCTTGTCATACATGGCGTATGAGTGCTCAACATTTATCATACACACGCACACACACACACACATGAATTCAGCTGTGCTTAGGTACGTGTATTATGCACACGTACCTGTTTACTTAAATACTATTTTTGGTAAACACTGAGTTGTACAAATGTCTGCACAATATAAATGTGTGGCAGTTCCAGAAAATGCAAGTTGCTACTATTATTTTTGGGCACTGAACTTTTCACATTGGCATGCAGAAAAAATAAATACAAATTTGAGATAGCAACATGAAAGGAGAAGTGCATAGAAGAAAATAAGTAAATTTTTCTCGGTGAAACTGCGATATGTAAATTTATTACATTAAACGAGCAATTCTTATATATATATATATATATATCCACTGGATTCTCGGAAGCGGCTCTAACGATTTTGATGAAATCTTGTACACAGATAATATTTTGGATTTTAAAGTTATCTGAATAGGCACTATCTCCGCGAAGACTATTCGAAATTAGTTACAAATCAATTAAATTTTAAAGATACCTAATTAAAAAATATTTTTAATAACGTTGCCAGCTATTTTGAATCGCATATTTATTTAATTTTTTTTTATTGTTAGAAAAAAAGGCAAAATATTACCAGTCATGGGTACCAAGAGAAGATTCTTAAACAATGCTTTCCCTATATACAGAATGTTATTCCTTAGGGTAGTAGTCTAAGGTTGCCACTTATTTTCAATTCTACACAATTTATCTAAAACAACGCAGTATGCATATCAAATGAAAGGCCACGCTTCTATGTAATACAAATTTTTATTTTGTTAATTTCAATCAGCATTTTTTTTATGTTTACACAGTACATATACGCTCAAGATCATTTCTCTGTTTTTAATTTTTAAATACTTTTTTTTTTAATTATATTTTAAGTTCTTAAAATTCCTTAAATTTAATGAATTTTATTTTTGTAGTTTGTTTCGATTATAAAAATCTTTCACATATTTTTTTTTTTTTTTTTGTTGAGATATTTTTATGTTCCTTTTCCTTTGTGGCTTATTTGGAAGGAAAAAACTTTTTGCTCACAATTTTTTTTTTTGTAATATTTTATTTTTTCTTTACACTTGTTTTCATAATAAACCTGCTATTAACTTCCGTCTTTTGCAAACTTGAAAATAATTTTATGCCAACGCAATGAGCAATTGTAAATACGCTTGTACATTTTTTGAATTTTCATTTAGAAACTAAATATTCATGCTACCACAGTAAATATGAAAAACTTTATGAAAATAATTATACAGGTTTGCTTGCAATTAAAGAGCGAAGTTGTAGAAAATTTTTTTGATTTTTTTTTTATATTTTTAGAAATACAATTTTCATCATTTAATATTTTAGACAATTTTATTAAAAAGTTACTAAAAATTACAATTTAAAACAATTTTGTAAAGCATTTTATACGTTTTAATTTTTTGGAAAATTTGGATATTCAAAATAGCACTGCAGAAAAATTATTTAAAACTTAAGACTAATGGCCTTATTTATAAAAAACAAAG